GCGTCCCCCGGTGAGGGAGGCCAGATTCCTCAGGAAGGTGACCTCTGCCCTGGAGGGAGGGACAGAGGGCTGGGGCCAGGCTCAGTGACCCCTCAGGCTCGTTTCCGGGAGCCCCCAGCCCACCGGGAACTCGAGTCTGTGGGGTGATGGGCCTTGGACTCTGACGCCCTAGGCCACTAAGGCCACGTCAGCAACACTGTCCCAGCCAGTTCACGCGCAGTGGCAGTAGCTGCTGCTGCGTGTGAAATGGAGCCACCATATTAGTGTTACCATTTAGCCCGGACCCTCTGAAAGCCGACGGCCAGCGCGCTAGTCCTGCCCCCTAAGTGGACATCTACCCAGTACCTGACGCGTTAGGTCTGGCAGAGACACAGGACGAGCTTTACGGAGCTCATGGTTTAGACAGAGAGAATGTGCACCTAAGGAACCACACACCCAATAATCGCATTATTGGCCCATAATATGGATGGCTTTTTCCGAAGCACGCACATCTCTGTCATCTGACATGTGTGTTTCTATGGTGATCGTTTATGAAGGTGACCATAACGGTGCTACTTTGAACTTTTTCCCCCTAAATATAAATGTGCTCCCCAGAAAGATGGCAGGCTAGTGGGGGGGAGGTGACGTGTGACTGTGGGGAGGGGTGCAAACTCGCTCCCGTGCGGGAGACTGTCATGGGGGGCGCCCACTGATGGGCAAATAAGGGGCGGACAGAGGAGCCGACCCTGTCGTGTGTCCCTGCTCAGACCCACCCCATTTCTGACTCATGGGAAGGGGCCCAGGAGAGACTGGCGTCTAGTGTGAATCCTGCACGAGGCGGGTCGCCCAGGCCCTGCCCCCCAGACACCGGCTATGGGGAGGGGTGCGCGAGGTCCTGGGGTGGGGCGCATGCGAGGTCCTTGAGTGGGGCGCACGCGAGGTCCTGGGGTGGGGTGCACATGAGGTCCTGGGGTGGGGCGCATGCGAGGTCCTGGGGTGGGGTGCAGGTGGCCCACCTGCCCGAGCAGCTCAGGGAGACGGTGTGCACCCTCACGTCTCGTTCTTCCGTGAGTCTCTGTGCTTCGCTCAGGACAAGGCTGCAGCTCGTGTCTGGCTTCCCGTCTGTCAGGAGGTACAGCCCTTCCACACCGCGAAGACTGAACGCTTTCTGCAAGAGCGCGTAGGCCGTCCGGCTCAGGCCTAGGTGCCGACCGGGAACCGCAAAAGCCAAGGGCCTGCTGTCCCCAAGGCAGATGCGTCTGATTGGACGCCACCGACTTCTCCGTGAAGACCGAGAGGCTCCCCCTTCAGCCCACCACAGACCAAGGAGGCTGCCGAAGTTTAGGAGAAAGGACCCGGCCTACATCCTGGCTGGGTAACCCCAGGCGAGGCACTTAACCTCTCTGAGCCTCCACGTCTTCATCTACAAAGTGAGAACGAGAATCCGTTTCTCACTGGTCTGTTAGGAAGGCGAAGTGCTTTAATGCTTAGTAAACTGTAAAGCACTGCGCAGTATCCGTATATGGGGGGATGGTGTCTCTGCCTTGCTACCGGATCAGGCTCAGGGGTGGAACTTGCCAGTAATGCTTGCAAGACTGAGGTGCTCCCTTCAGCATGCAGGCGGGTCACCCACTGCATGGCCTCATGACACGCTGCATCCGTGGTCTCCACGAGGGTGTCCTGCCACAGCTGGAGGCCCTCTGCAAAGCTGATCAGGTTAAAACTGGGGAGTGGGGAGAAAGAGATTGGTCAGAATGTGCCAGTGTACACCGAGTTCGGGTCAAGTGACCTCCGGCAGGCCTGCCCACGCCTATCAGTAAAGCCCTACGGGGAGCCCCACACGGGCCGCCCGAGAATAAGAAGGGACACAGCGAAGCTTCCGGGTGCACAAAGAAGTCGCTTTAAATACCCTTCAGCCGCCGATGGCCTACGCGATCGTGGGAAAATTACTTAAGTCCTCATGTGCTTTTCGGAAAAGTGGGATGATAACGACAGTACCCGACAGGGTCATCATGAGGAATTGTGCGTGAAGGGGCTCAGTGAATGTGTCCTCTTTTTAACATTAAGTTCGGGAAGGGGGGTGCCCTAGGCCAGCAATGCCCCAGAACTACCCCTTTGATCTTCCTGGACTGCCCGACCGCCCACGCCCTTGCCCCTTACCTGTCACAGTGCTTCCGCAGCTGTTCCCAAATCAGCAGAATCAGCTCTGTCTTCACCTGCTGCAGGTAGGGGCCCATGGACCCTGAGGTGTCCAGCAGGATGCACACTTTCCTCTCCAAAATGGCACCAAACAGCCGGCGGCTCCCTGCTCCGAGGCGGAGGGGGCAGAGGCAGGGAGGCCGTGAGGAGTGGCCTCTTCTGGGGGCTTTTTGGTGTGGCTATCAAGTACGTGGTCTCGCAACGCAGCTGCCTGACGGGTCAGCGACGGGAGATGGCCTTTGTGACGCTGTGGGAGGGGCCAGCTGTCTAGGGCTCCGGGCTTTGGGAAACCAAGATTTTGGCGGTGGCCCTGCCTGAGATCGCCTGCATAAGCGGTCACACCCACCCTGGACCTGAGTTTCCTCGGCCCTAAAGTTAAAGTGAAGTGATTGGACTGAGTGGTGTCCCGTATTGTGGGGGCTGGAAATGATGTCACCGTGCACAGGGCCCGCTGAGCATCTGCCGCTTGCCCAGCCCGGCGCACAGTGCCACGGTGAGCGAGAGGGGCCACCACCCTCATGGAGCCCGCAGCCGGGCAAGAAAGACAGAGGTCACGCACAGCCGCGACCCCGCCGGGGGTTCCGACAGGGTTAAGGGGGAAGCTGAATTGCAGGGGTGAGGGGTGGGAAGCAGACAGGTGAGGACAGAGGTGGGGTGTGGGGAGGGAGGGGAGAGCCTTTTCTCGTCTGAGCAGAGAGAAAGCCGGAGGGGCTGTTGAAGGACTGGCCATTTACCTCAAGGGAACGAGGGAGGGCGGTGGCTTGCCCAGGGTCATCCGGTCTGGCAGGGCCAGCCGGGGTGGCTTGCCCAGGGTCATCCGGTTTGGCAGGGCCAGCCGGGGTGGCTTGCCCAGGGTCATCCGGTTTGGCAGGGCCAGCCGGGGTTCATATCCAGGTCCTCTGGGCCACATTGTAAGGTGGCCGCTAACCACTGCCCTCCAGAGGCCTGGGAAGGGGCAGGCATCGCACCCCCACAGCCTGCGGGCTGTGCACACCAGGGTCCACTGCAGAGAGCCCTGAGCGGCCCACACAGGGACCTCTGTGAAAGGCTCCGTCCTCCTACCAGGCCCCAGAGCCTACAGCCCTCCCGTCCAGTAGCAGCTGCCGGCCCGGCCTCTTGGACTGGATGCTCAGACCACGTCCTAACCCCAGCCCAGCCTGCTCTCCTCAGCCAGCTCGGTCCACCCACCTCTCTAGAGCGGCCGGGTGCTCTTCGCAGGGAACGGGGGCTTCTTTGCTGTCGAGACCCATCCCGTCTCTCCCTTCCTGAACCAGGGTATGGAGCCCGGTCAGCCCTAAATGCAGCCACCCCCGGGGGAGGCAGGGCGGGGAAGGCGGCCCAGCAGGGGTCCTCCCTGGCACTCGCCCGCCCGTGCTCTAGCTGCCCGTCCTCCAGCGCCTTGCCTGACCTCTGAACCTTGAGGTCATGCTGTACCTGGATGGCCCTCCTGCCCTAATGCCCTACCTGACGGTTCATGAGTGGCTGGCTTGGGGTGCCCGGGGCTGACTCCCGCTTCCCCTTGAGCCCCTCCGCCCCCCAGGACAGCAGGCAGGCTCACCAGTCAGCAGCCACTGCAGCCTCTGGACATAGCGTCTCATCACCTTCTCCAGGCACGTGATGTACACTTCGATTTCCCTGGGCGTCCACTGAATGTGTCTCACCGTCCCCTGGATTAAGGCGAGTGAAGGCAAATTTCCCCCCATCAGCCTTTTCTCCATCACCCCCATCACCCCCTAAAATAGTTTAGTCTGTTGTGGTTCGTAACTTCCAAACTATTGTTAAGCATGCGTTTTTGTTTAAACCTTTTTTCTTTTTATTATGATACTACCAGATGTATGGTTCTAGAAAGGAATGGGGAAATTAGGATGATGGTTTTGTGACAAAAATGGTCACTGTAATAATAAAAAATAATAGAGTATCTCTAAATTAAGATAGAAAACTCTTGACGGTAGGATGGGAGGTTCCATAAATTACAAACTAAAACGTGACCTCTGACAGAAAAGGGGACAGCGTGACGAAACTTCCATGACATTTTTCTAGTGGGCAATTTTGAATTTGGTGGCTATTTTTAGCTTTATAGTTCCACTCACGTTGCTAAAATAGGGTTTTCGAAAATAGGGTCTTTAAAAAAAAAAGCACGGTTAGCTTTTCATTTTCTACTAAATGTACTTGTTCCAGGGTCGAAACACTGAGAAAACGTGAGCCCCAAAGTAGAACACGGAGAGCACCACTCACCCCCTGCTCCCCGCCACCCCTATAGACCCACCATCCGTCCTGGGGGGAAGGTGTCTGCCACCGTTTCTGACTCTCACTCCGGTGAGCCCGGCTACCCCCAGAGTGTGGTTTCAAGCACTCTGAGGGGTTCACTTTTCTCCCGACAGATTCTATATCTCCTCTTCTCTGAGAGCAGCCCCACTTTGGGGGTGGGGGCGCGGGTTTTAGCAGGGAGACTAGAAGCCACAGTGCCGTGCGGCCATCACCGGGAGCCCTCCCCAGCGCATGCTGCCACTGGTGGCTGAGAGGAGGCAGGAGAAACGAGAAACCTGACATACGTTGACCTCCATGCTGGGGAAGATGCTGCAGTGTTTGGCGGCCGCTGGGCTCCACGCTGACTTCTGATGAGTGCAGTTAGGACCGATGCGTTTGGAGATGTCCATCTTCAGTTTTTTTAGCCCAAAATTTGCTACCCACTTTAGAATAAAGGAAAGAACTATTATCTTGGGTAATTAAAGCTTAAAATGAAGGACTGACTCATCTATTAAAACCTCTCGTTTGAAACCTGTCTTATGTTTGACATGGGGGGTTCCCAGGTCCTCACTGAGCATGCATCCCATGCAGTGTCCTTCCACGGCATTGGGGACAGATGCACAAGAAATATGGCGAACAGGGAACAACATTTATTGAGCGCCTGCTACTCCCCAGTCTGGTGGACACTGTTGCTTTCCCAATGTCCATTTCGACCTTCTCCGATAAGATGTGTGTGGAAACCCTGATTGGTTCAGAGCTCACGCTCTAAACAGATTAAGATAATTTCAGTCTCCTCGTCACAATGAGAGCCACCAGAATGGGCAGGCTCCGACCAGTCGGCGCGGCATCCAGGACTGGCTCAGTGGGAACCGAGCTCAGCCTCTCCCTGAGCGGCCGTGGGAAGAATGACGCTCTACCTGCATGTCACCAAGAGGGTGGCTTTCTGTTGCTTGCGACCGAGAGGGTCTGACACCACTGAGGACTTGACACTTCAGTTAGTCATCGGTCCTATTATAGCGGTACAACTGTCTTCACTGTACAGACAATGACAGCAAGAATGACTGTAGCTAAGGGACTTACCCAAGGTCACCCAGCTAGGAAGTGCCAGACCTGGGTTTCGAACCTACGTGCACTGAATCCTTATCTCAGATGCCACCTTAAGCAGTTATTCTAAGCAAGTTTTCCCCGACGTCCCAGTCTGCCCACCCTCCTGGGCGTGAGTGCTGGTGGCAGGAATTATTGCCCCGGGAGTATGTGCTGGTGCACACGGCCTCATACCTCTTGGCTTGAGCAGACTGTGTCCTTTCTGGGCAGCTCGACAGAAGACGTGGGCCTTCGGGTGGCCCTCCCCCGAGAGTACCTCTTGTACACAGAGCCTGGGAGAAACGGAGTGAGATTATCTGCATGCCTCCCTCCCCGCGCCCCCTTTCCACATCGATTTCTCTGTCAGCCGAGTCAGCTGTAAAATTCCTTGGGTGCCATTTGCTGAGAGGTGGACAGGGAAGCTTGGGCGGATCGGGCGGGCGAGCCGGGCCTGTCTTCTCCACGCCTCGGTGAAGGTGCTGGGATCTGAGCCATTGCTCGGCACCATCGGGCGGGCCCGGGCTCCTGTCCACCCCCTCCCCCGGCAGCCTCAGAGCCGAGGACGCTGCCCCTGGAGGGTGGGGCAGGACTGCTGCACCCAAGGGCCTTGGGGATCCTTCAGTGTGGACTCTCCTGCCCACTCCCCGGACTGGGAGACCTGAGCGGGGTGAGGACAGGCCTGCCGCCCAGGTCCTAGGACAGCGGGGGGAATGTCCATCCCACGGGGCCTGCCGACTTCACAGTCCCACAGGGTGGGGGGTGGGGGAGCTGCCTGGACATCCGGGTGGCCGCCGACTTACCCACGTTATTCCCCGTCTCCATGTAAAACAGTGACAGAGCCGTCCCTGCCTCCCTCGACTTGGGCCCCCTTCTCCGTCCCGCAGCGTCCTCCTTGGCTGGCCGGGCTGCAGCTAGAGGACATGTGGCCTGTCGGCTGGCGTAAGCGCTTCCCGCGCCCGTCACGTCTCATCCTCGCGGTCCCCCAGCTTGGAGGTGAGAGGCGGAGGACTCGGCGAAGGGTCCAGCCAGGGGCTGCTGACGCCAGGACTCTGCTCCGAACTACTCGCTACGGCTCAGGCGTTGCGTGGAGGACACACGGCCCTAGGTGCCAGGAGCTGAGCACCGTCATAAAAACGCCCGTGCCCTCACGCAGCCAGCCGGTGCTGGTCGCTATTCCTAGCTGCTCTGAGCCCGAATCTCTTCCTCAGTAACATGGGGAACTAACAGATGACCTGCCACGTAGAACTGATTGTTATAAGCTTTAAAGGGACATTCTCAGCCGAAAGCCGCATGATCACTGGTCATTTCCGTAACTGTCATTATTGGGGCAACTCAGCCAGCCCCGTGTACCCCCCGGCCCTGCCCACGGCAGCCATGCCTCACCTGGCGGGATGCCCGCTTTGCCACTGAGTGGACGCCGTGTCAGAGCTTTCGAGGGGGGACTTCCTTTTCTGTCATGGTCATCTTTAATGCTCTAGAAAACAGGCAGTCTTTCTTAACAGTGGCCTGTCCTCTGTGGCAGGGGCACCCCCCATCCGCTGCCCCAGCCTCAACCTGTCAGCTAGGAACCTTCGCCAGGAGAGGCCTAAGGGGGTGGATTCCTCAGGCACGTTTGCTGCATCTCCTGCCCACAGATTGAGGAGACTCTGGGTTTTGAGGTGAAAAAGTATGTGTGTAAGCACGTGTGTGTGTGTGTGTGTGGATTTGCCAGAACCTTCTTCACAGTTCCCCACTCCCCTCCCAGCTGGACTGAGATTGCTGGGCCTCCAGTGTGACAGGCAGGAGCAGGAGGGTCCTCATGACTGGGCACAGCTGGGGTGTGGCAATGGCGACAGTCGCCCAGGGCCGGGGGAGCAGCTGAGACTCCGGACTGAGCTGCCACTCCAAGGGGGGGGCAGGCCCGGGTTTCAGGGGGCCCTCTGGAGGCCTGATCAGGGCCTCAGCGCCCTCACACTGAATCAGCTCGGGCCGTCCCGAAGGCCCAAGAGGCAGACCCTGGACTTAAGGGGTGTCGGCTCGGAATCTGGGGAGGGGGGTGGCGAAGTCTCTAGGCGGGCTCCTGAAACCTGGCGGAGTTCTGGGACGGAGGGCGACGCCCCTGGAAACGCAGCACCCCCGGGGAGCGGGGTCAGCGGCGCACCCCAGGAGCGGGCGGCCGCAT